AGTAAAAAATCCACTTCTGGATATATTTTTATGTTGACTCAGGGAGCTGTATTATGGAAAAGCTCTAAGCAATCTATTATTGCAGATTCAACTATGTATGCAGAGTTGATCAGTTGTTATGAAGCGACCAAACGTGCCATGTGGTTGAAACATTTTATTGCGGATTTAAAGATTGTGGACTCCATACACAAGCCTTTAATACTTTTCTATGATAATGAAGCTATCACAAAATATGTGAAAAATGAAAAATTGACCAAGCGTAATATGCACATAAATGTAAAATACCTTTACGTGTGCGAGAAGGTTAAGTAAGGTATTATTGAGGTTCCTCATATAAATACAACAAGGATGATTGCAGATCCTCTCACTAAAGGTTTTTAGTCAAAAATATTTAAAGAGCACGTGATTCAAATGGGTATTCAAGAGTCATTGTGTTATGATGTCTGATTGCTCTATTACATCATGTTACATTGCAGTTGTTTTCTTTCAGTTTATTTACACCTTATGGTGACAGTTGTTTGCATGAAAATAAAGTTATGATGTATCATTATTATTATTATTACATTATTGTATATGATATGTGCACGTGTTATTCTTGTTGCCTGAGAGTGGTATTTCACTCATGAAGTTGTTTGGGTTAGATGTGAAATTGGCACCACATTGGTAAATCCAAACATAACTACTAAAGTTTGCCTGTGGGAGTGTTAACACTCTATGAGGATAACTTGGGCTAAATATGAGATTGATTCCATATCGGTGAACCCTCACACTGAATAGAAGATTAGCTGTTTGCTGTAATATATTCAGGTGACATACCGCAATGGTATGAAGTAAGACGGATAGTGAGGTGTGCGGTTAGACCACATGCAGTTTGCATATCTCATGAAATACAGTAAAAACCATTATATTTGCTTGAATCCTAGATGGAATCGGTTTTGAGACCATGGAATTGTTCAGACTAATATATTACTTGTTTACGCATTCATGATCCACTATTGAGGAAATTTATGGAGGAGAGTAGTTCTAAAGTTTCAATCCATCAATTTCGATAATTGTGTTTTCTAAATAAAAATGAGTGGTCACTCGACTTGTATAAACTGTGTTGCAATCCATAGTGTCATTTTATAAAACTTAGAGTGCATGGACCAAGTGGAGATTGTTGGAATTTATATATATATATATATTTAAATAATAAAAATTATGTTATGGTCCTATGTACTACGTTTTCTAAAATAGGATTACAGTGTGATTATTGATACTTGATGGATTAGATTTATACTTTCTAATTTGGTGGTCTAATTGGGAGTATGGTTTTATACCGTTGGATTGTGATTTTCCAACTTATTTGGTGTGATTTATTTCTAACCATTGATGTTTAAGTTTTCATGATAAGAAGGGAGACTTAGATATGCTTATTTGTACAGAAGCCGCCCCCACTATTGTTGTTAAATATAAGGGTTTAAAAACCCTTATTCAGACCTATTGTATCGACAACTCTCAAAAGGGGGTAAATCGTTCTAATTTTTTAGATCTCTCAAGGGCATTAAGGAATTCCCAAAAGGTATATAAAGTTTAATTTTTTAATCAGGTATGATATCAAAACCTCTCTTTAATTAATGATTAATTTTAATTTCTGCATGTTATTTATTATTTAAACCCACGTACACTTCAAGTCCACTTGTTAATAAATAAGAACACAAGTTTGTTCTTTAAAGAGGTATAGCATGTAAATAAAAAAAGGTTAAGAAATTTGACGAAATGCTTACAGTTTTAGAATAGTGTATATATATCTAAATATATACAGATATAAATATACATATAGATTTGGCATTCTAAAATTTACCAAAGTATTAACACACTGAATTATCAAAACAATTTTAAATCTTTCGGCTCTGACTTAAAAATAAAAAATAATAAAGTTTCATTAAAAAGCTTAACATGATTCTTAAGTTCGTGTCTCATTGATCTCAAGAATCACAAGTGAACCTATCAACACACCGTCTAGGTCCACCGAGTTTAACCTAATTAATTAAGGTCAATGCATATACACTTAAACATAGAATTCTTTAATGACTTGAAGACTTAAAATTCATCTTAATTGACTCCCAAAAGTCCAATGTTAACTTGTAAAGTAATCCACCCCGCCAATTAAACCAAACTAACGTGATACTCGTTACCTACACCCGTCAATTAAAACACACTCTCGTAAAGTGATACTCAACCGCATCTACATGTCTACTACCGACACAGCTATAATTAATTCAAGACTCAATTAAATAATTATCTATGTTTAAGATTTTCACGTAATATCTTGTGATTGCGTGGATGAAAAGTAAACTATATTTTAAATTACAATCAATTGTCAGAAGTTTTTTACTATTAAAACTCAATTAAATACATTTATAAGATCCATTAAATTTACCACATATTCTATGACGTATAAGAGTTTTGGGTGTAAGATGATTTATTTATCTTTTATTATGTTATTATTTTTTTCATCCCATAATAGATAAGTATTTTGTGAGTCATAATTCGTAAAGTATCTATCTATTATAAAGTAGAGGGAGTATCTTTTTAATCCATAAGAAATATAAATTTTTTATAATGTGAATAATTAAAATAGTTTGTGAAATAAATATTTTTTGAGAACAAAATAATATATCAATGATTTTTAACATTAAATTTTCTTGATTCCCATTCAAATAAGAAATTTTATAAATTGGATTATTTTTTATACCATGTCTTTTCAAAATGAAAGTGAAATTCGTGGGTTTGTGTTTTCATTTTCGTTGTACTCGAATTTATTATATAAAGGAAAGGAAAAAGATTTTTTTTTAAGTGAAAAAGAAAGAAGAATGAATTTTTTTTTTTTAAGTGAAATGGAAAGGAGTAGGATGTTTTAAGTGAATTACTGTTGTCCTTTTCCAGATTTGTATTTGTGGTTTAGAAAATCAGAGACTCTTTAACGTATGGGATCAAAATTCTCTTTTGCGCATCAGTCAAGCATCTTGATATAAGATTATAACGTTATTTTTAAGACTTTGGTATATTTGTTTTATTTTATATAAGACAAAAAGTGTAAAATGTATTGATAGAGTGTCGGGAACGTGTGTGTCTCCCAAACATTTTAAATAATAAACCCGGAATTTTCACGTAATATCTTGTGATTGCGTGGATGAAAAGTAAACTATATTTTAAATTACAATCAATCGTCAGAAGTTTTTTACTATTAAAACTCAATTAAATATTTATAAAATCCATTAAATTTACCACATATTCTATGACGTAAAAGAGTTTTGGCTGCAAGATGATTTATTTAGCTTTTATTATGTTATTATTCCCTCCATTCCATACTAGATGAGTATTTTGTGAGGGAGTATCTTTTTAATCCATAAGAAATATAAATTTTCTATAATGTGAATAATTAAAATAGTTTGTGAAATAAATATTTTTTGAGAGAACAAAATAATATATCAATGATTTTTAACATTAAATTTTCTTGATTCCCATTCAAATAAGAAATCTTATAAATTGGATTATTTTTTATACCATGTCTTTTCAAAATGAAAGTGAAATTCGTGGGCTTGTGTTTTCATTTTCGTTGTACTCGAATTTATTATATAAAGGAAAGGAAAAGATTTTTTTAAGTGAAAAAGAAAGGAGAATGATTTTTTTTTTTTTTTTTTTTTTAAGTGAAAAGGAAAGGAGTAGGATGGTTTAAGTGAATTACTGTTGTCCTTTTCCAGATTTGTATTTGTGGTTTAGAAAATCAGACACTCTTTAACGTATGGGATCAAAATTCGTTAAGCATCTTGATATAAGATTATAACGTTATTTTCAAGACTTTGGTATATTTGTTTTATTTTATATAAGACAGAAAGTGTAAAATGTATTGATATAGTGTTGGGAATGTGTGGTGTCTGCCAAACATTTTAAATAATAAAATTATTTTTAAATAATACACATGGCTTGAAGTATTAAACATGTGTTTATGAGTATTCATGGAGTGTCCGTGTTCAATACAGACACTACATTTTATAAAATTATCTGTGCTTCTTAGATGCCATATTATAAATTCGTGGAAATCTCTTAAAGAATTTTTTTTTTTTTTTTAATGAATGAATGCAAACCAAAGAGCAACTCATAATTTAGCAATATGTTGGAGAGAATGAAATTCTTTGTCTAGAATTGATATCGGTGATATTTTGAAAGTTGCATAATGTAAATTTTCAATAAGTCTGTAATTATTGACAAAAAAAAAAAATGCTCATAATAAATTTGGAATCATTATTTTAAAAATAAAAATAGATACATAGTAACGATCAATGTCCATTCCTATACCCATGTCCTATTACGAGGAATAAAATAAAAAATGTGTTGAGATGGTAGAGTGATTAATAATTTTGATTTTAAAAATCGATATAATTTTGAACAGAGAACTATTGAGGATTTGAAACCACCCATGTCATTTTACTAGTTAAATATATATATTTTAAATTTATTATTTTGCCCATATGTAAAAGGGAATGACTCAACTATCCCAACTAACCAAGCTAGAAAAAAAAAAGAAAAAGATTAGACATAAAAGAGTTGAAAAAAAAATCAATGTCTGAAATTAAAATTAAAATTGAAAAAAAATTCGAAAGCAGCGGCGAAAGAATGTAAATTTTAATGTTTAATCGTAAAAAATATAGATAAATATATGAAGGCAGAATGCTTATAGTAAATTTTGAATCATTATTTAGAAAATAAACGCAGGCAGTTACAGATACTCACAGTATTCACTCCTATAATAATAATAATAATAAAAATAGATTAGATACAAATGAGTTAGAATTAAAAAAATTCTAACTCTTCAATTAAAATTATGCTTAAAAATACAGTAATAATAATAAAATTGGAATTTTTTTTAAAAGAAAATTCATGAAGGCAAAATGCCCATTATTTAAAAAACTAAAAATAGTCCCGCGGAATATTCCAAGTCATCCTCCACTTGGCACCGCGTTTTCTCTCTCCTCCCGACACCGTTTATCAGTCTTCCCCCGGTCTCCCTCTCTCTCTTCGTTCAACCATTTCAACTCCATTTGGTTTCTTGCAAGCAGCACACACAACATACCCTAAAACCTCACCAAAATCACAGTGGGGAGAGAAGCTAGAGAGAGAAACCAGTCAAACCACCTTCTCCATTTCTCCCTTGCCAAATCACTTCCATCATTACCTTGTTCAAATTCAACAGTCAAAGAAATAAGATAGAGAAAGCTCGATTCTGCTCAATTTTTCTACTTCTATGATTGATCGGTTGTGGCAGAGGTAGATGGATCGAGCTCTCAATGAATCGCATACAACGATTTTTCACTCATAGCGAGAATCGCAAAGGCATGGACTCGAAGCAGAAGCAGAAGCAGAAGCGGAAGGGGCCGAAGCTCGAGCGCCGAAACGCCCTCAAGAACATAGACTACGAGGCGTCTTCGGAGGACGCGTCGTCTCGTCGGACTCGGTCGCTCGATATATATTCGGCCAATGATCGGTCTAGCTTCAGAATTGGAGGAGCCGAAGGTGAGGTTGATAGAGTTTGCCGGAGCATAGGGCTTTCGGGACCGGACGATTTTGGGATACCGTTGGCGGCGTGGGAGTCGAGGACGGTCCGGTCTTCGTCGGATCTTCTGCCGAGGTCTCGGTTGCACCTACTGGACGGCGGGATGGTAGATTCACCTCTTCCACAACTGGAGGATGTAGATTCCAGTGGATTATCAGATCGGTTTGAAGATAGTGTGAGGGTTAGTGATGCAATTGAGGGGCAAATTGAGTCTATTGAGTTGAATGATTCTGAATTGTTAAATAGTGTACGAGACAGTGTTAGGGTTTGTGATATTAGTGAGGATCGGATTGAGCAGGGGGAGTCTTCTCGTGGCGACAGTGGTGGCGGCGGAGGAATTAGGGGTATTAGACCGCCTGTTCTTGCTCCTCCACCAGCATTTTCGCGACGGGTTATAGATGACGCGTTCTCTACAGCCTCTACTTGGGATATTGTAGTATCTCTTGCTCCAAATGATGATAAAGGTTCGTCTTTCGTGGTTCGTGGACGGTACAGTTCTTCTGATGATGAAGAAGCTGTTGAAGAGATTGATGAGGGAGAGGAGGAGGAGGACGAGGAGGTAATTGGGGTGAGACTGGGAGAGACTGTTGTTCTTTCTGAATCTTGTTCGTTCACTACCACTTCAAATGATGATGATTCTTCTAGCACTGACATTTCGCCAAATGGTAGAATCAGACGTAATATCACAAAATGGCAAAAGGGGAGCCTTCTGGGACGTGGGTCGTTCGGAGCCGTATATGAAGGAATTGCCGAGTAAGTGCTATTCATATTATTATCTTGATCTCATGCCCATAGAAACCTTAATTACCGTTTGTGTTAGTTGTTTTTCAAAGTCCACAATCCAATTTTTTCTCTAAATCCAGTCTGATGCTAATGTTGTTAAACAGTAATTAGGTGTATCACGATATACCAGTTGAACAATCACCTCAATGCATCCCCTCAAATTGAGGATTGGCAACGTGGTCAATTTCTCATGATCATGCAGTCAACTTTTCAAAAATATATAACCAACTAATCAATTTGGATACAAAATATATTTAATTAATTTATTTTTATTTTTTAAAAAGTAAGCAGGCATCATATGCCCTCATGATAAAATGATGGCATAGTGTGCTCCACCTTTATTGAATTTATGTGTTATCATAAATATAAAGCCTTGATGGGCTTCCCGTGAAGCTGCTATGGCGATTGGAGACCAAAGTGGCCATAAGTGCCACACCACAAATGGAGCACCATCTTCATTGATATAAGACCAGCAAGAAATGGCAGACTTCTTGTAGCATATATGCACGAAGAAACAACTAAAGAACTCCTATATCCAATATTGAAATCAGAAGCAACTGAAAAGCTTCTTGATGAGACCACAAGACAAACAGATAGTACAAAATATGATTGATACAAGGTACAAGTTTACTGATTGAGGTGGGTCACATAAAAGAGGCAAATTTCAGTGGCCATACCGTTGTAGTGATGAAGGTTAAGCAATCAAAAGGGTTTAGCTCATAACAAATATAGGAACTGTATTAGCATGCTATTATTCTCATTAAAGCAATAAGCCATTTGAGAAGGTATCTAGTTGCTATTCTACGAAATCTGAAGTAGCATAAGGAAAACTAGATCATTTTTGCCTAGTTCATCTAAGTTAGACTGGCCTTTGTATGGAATATTGTGAATATTGTTTGCAAGGTGATAGTTGACACATAACAAAAAAAATTTGAACTTTACTAAGGAGACTGCTGTTTTCTCTGCATCTTCTATCTTTTCAATTTCTCTTACCAAAAAAAAAAAAAAAAATTGTTTAGAAATGAAAATCCTCTTTTGCGCAACACTAAATCCTGATATATGATTATAATGTTATTTTTGAAGTTTGTCGTGTATTTGTTTTATATAAGACAAAGAGTGTAAGATGTGTTGATAGAGTGTCCGGAATGTGTGGTGTCCCCAAACATCCGAAATAATAAAATTATTTTTAAATAATGGACATAGCCGTGAAGTATCGAACATGTGTTTACAAGTATTCATGGAGTGTCAGTGTTCGATGACCCTACATTTCATAAAATTGTCTGTGCTTCTTAGATGCTATATCATACATTCGTGGAAACCCCTGGAAGAACATTTTTTTTGTTAATAAATGAAGTCAAACCAAAGAGCAACTCATAATTTAGCAATATGTTTGAGAATGAAATCCATCGTTTAGAATTGAAATGAATGCAAACCAAAGAGCAACTCATAATTTAGCAATATGTTTGAGGGAATGAAATCTATCGTTTAGAATTGAAATTGGTGAAATTTTGAAAGTTGCAGCCAATGCATAAAGAATGTAAATTTTCAATAAGTCTATAATGTCAAAAGGTAAAAAAGAAAATTATTGACACAAAAATGCTCATTATAGATATTAAATCATTATTTAAAAAATAAAAATAGATACATAGTGACAATCAATATCCATTCCTATACCCATGTCCTATTACGAGGAATAAAATAAAAATTGTGTTGAGATGGTAGAGTGATTAATAATTCTGATTTTAAAAATCGATATAATTTTGAACAAAGAAATATTGAGAATTTGAAACCATCTATGTCATTTTACTAGTTAAACAAATTTTTTTTTATTTATTATTTTGCCCATATGTAAAGGGGATGACTCAACTATCCCACCTAACCAAGCTAGAAAAAAAAAAAATTAGACATAAAAGAGTTGAAAAAAATAAAAATCAATGTCTGAAATTGAAATTAAAATTGAAAAAAAATTCGAAAGCTGCCGTGAAAGAATGTAAATTTTAATGTTTAAAGGTCAAAAAAAATAAAATCATGAAGGCAGAATGCTTATAGTAAATTTTGAATCATTATTTAGAAAATAAACGCAGGCAGTTACAGATACTCACAGTATTCACTCCTATTATAATAGTAATAATAATAAAATAGACTAGATATAAATGAGTTGAATTAAAAAAATTCTGAGTCTTGAATTAAAATTATGCTAAAAAATACAGTAATAGTAATAAAATTGGATTTTTTTTTTGAAAGAAAATTCATGAAGGCAAAATGCCCATTATTTAAAAAACTAAAAACAGTCCCGCGGAATAATCCAAGTCATCCTCCACTTGGCACCGCATTTTCTCTCTCCTCCCGACACCGTTTATCAGTCTTCCCCCGGTCTCTCTCTCTCTCTCTTCGTTCAACCATTTCGCAACACTAAATCACAGTTGGATCCCACTTTAAAGCAAAATGTTATATTCCTTAAACCATCACCTTCGCAAACCATCAACTGAATATGGAGCACCATCTTCATTGATATAAGAACAGCAAGAAATGGCAGACTTGTTGTAGCATATATGCACGAAGAAACAGCTAAAGAACTCCTATATCCAATATTGAAATCAGAAGCAACTGAAAAGCTTCTTGATGAGACCACAAGACAAACAGATTGCACAAAATATGATTGATAGGAGGTACAAGTTCACTGATTGAGGTGGAGCACATAAAAGAGGCAAATTTCAGTGGCCATACCGTTGTAGTGATGAAGGTTTAGCAATCAAAAGGGTTTAGCTCATAGCAAATATAGGAACTGTATTAGCATGCTATTATTCTCATTAAAGCAAATAGCCATTTGAGAAGGTATCTAATTGCTATTCTGCGAAATCTGAAGTAGCATAAAGAAAACTAGTTTGTTGTGGAGAACAATTAGATCATTTTTGCCTAGTTCATCTAAGTTAGACTGGCCTTTGTATGGAATATTGTGAATATTGTTGCGAGGTGATAGTTGACACATAACAAAAACAATTTGAACTTTACTAAGGAGACTGGTGTTTTCTCTGCATCTTCTATCTTTTCAATATCTCTTACCAAAAAAAAAAAAAAAAGTGGAAAAATCTTTTCATATGTTTGTAGCTTTATTTCATGTAAGTCTGTTTATTATGGAATTTATGTTTGTTTGGTCGATGCTAAATTCTAAATTTTCTCCATATCTCACTTATATATATAAATAAATGTTCTCCATTTCTCATAATCAGAAACACGTTTGTTTGTTCTGATTTGTGCATGTACTTTGTTGAACATTATTTTTTGTTACTGCTTTTCTTGCAGAGATGGATTCTTTTTTGCTTTGAAGGAAGTTTCTTTGCTTGATCAAGGAGACCTGGGAAGGCAAAGTATATACCAACTTGAACAGGTGAGTCAGCCTGAAGTTTCGTTCGATTGTACATTGTCTAATATGTGTTCCTGTATTGGTAACGTTTTCCTGCCAAGATTCTATTTTTCTTATCCCTTGTTTACTCTTTCAGGAGATTGCTCTTCTAAGTCAGTTTGAACATGAAAACATAGTTCGGTATTATGGTACAGAGAAGGTAATACTCTCGCACTTTTCATGTTGGCTGTTATTCGACTATCTCTCACATTTCCTTGTCCTTCGTATACAAAAAGAAAAATGAAAAAGATACTAGTTAATTGAGAACACTTATTTATTTATTTGTTTAAGTTTTTGTACATGTACTCCTTTCACAATGATGCTTCTACTGTGAAGTCCTGGCACTCTTTTCCTTTATTGTAAAGTTGATTTCGGATGTATAGAAATATTTTCCAACAAATTGTTTTCTCAATTTTGTGTTACTCAAAATACTGGAGAGTAGGACAACAGTTTTTATCCATGTTTTACTTTCACTTCTGTCGGGTTGTATTCGAGAGTGCCTTTTACCATTTTTTTTTCTCTCTCTCCTCCTCCAGAGGTATATTGTGGAAGTTGGAGAGATGCCGAGTTGGGCATTTCTCTCATTTAGAATTTTAATTACTTCCTGATTAGTTTTCCAATAACTTTAGATATGTAATTGAGCACACTTATATAAAATGATCTAAATATATATATGAATTTGTAATTTCACAATCATCTATGTAGCTGTGTTCCTATGCCAAGGTTTGTGGAGTTATCATGTTGGGCACCTTTGTTTATGTCACACAGTGGACTAATGCTACCGTCCATAGTTCGTAGGTTTCTTGTCAACAAAATAAAGACAATATATAAAAGTTCTAGGCACCACTATGACCTGGAATAAGGACACTACACATGGATACGACGATGACAAATTCTTAAAAAATAGGATACGAATAAGGTGGACACTATTATATTTATGTTTTATGAACATAGATATTTGTAAAAATCTCTCTCTCTCTCTATGTGTCCATGGATAGTTTTAAAGAATAATTGTTTAAGTTATATATATTGTTATTAACATTTCTTAATAAAATATTATGACAAATAAGATGAGCATTTCTTTATAAAATATAATGACAAATAAGATGAGCGTTGAGAGTTATTTTGCATGGATAAATTTTTATATATATATCAATTCTTCTTAAATAAATTTTAAACTTTTCTTAACAATTGTACTATGATATTATTCTTGTAAAATTCACATTTGTTCTGAAGTATCAGAGGAATTGTTCGACGTGTCACGTATCTGAGAAGTTTTGGGTACAGGTTAGAAATAAAAATATACTTAAGATTATGAATGGTTTTAGTAAGTATCGGACAGGTAGCGAGTATTCGAGTAGTGTTAGTGTCCGACACTGACACGATACTGAATGTCACCCATATAGAAGTATCTGTGCTTCACTTATCATAAAAAAGAAAAAAAGAAAAGAAAAAGAAAAAAGTATCTGTGCTTCACAGCCTGGCTGGCAACCTACCTAGCTAAGTGCATTGCCTGATGCATCAACTGGATTCTCCGGATTATGTTCTTCCATGGTCTCCCGTAAATAAATTTCTTATCAACTACGTCATATGTTTGTTGGTTGCTTTTGCAGGATGATTCAAATCTATACATCTTTCTGGAGCTGGTGACAAAAGGTTCCCTTTTAAATCTCTATCAAACATATATTCTACAAGATTCCCAAGTTTCTGGATATACAAGGCAGATCCTGCATGGTTTGAAGTACCTGCATGAGCGAAATGTGATTCACAGGTGATAAAACTGAATCTATAATGCCAGTCTAAGTTATATCTGTTTTTTGTGATCTCCAGATCGTCTGCTTTGGTGTTCTTGATCTTTCCTCATGTGAATTGTAGTCTTTAAAACATGTCTGTCTTATTATGTCTACATGCTCCATTCTCTCCCAGACAGAAAATTGGTTTCTTTTATTGCGGGAGTTCTGTCATTTAAATATTCAGTTTCTGCTTTACCTTTGCAAGGGGTTTCTCAAATTGTAAAATGATGGATTTAATACACAGACATTACTTATCGCATCTTCTTTCTCAGCCCATGTGATACCCCTTGATTCTACGGGTGATCAAGTCCGAGCACAAATCCGAGGGATATCAAACAATTAAAGTATATAATCGAACATAGAATACAAAATGAATTAAGAATAAATAAATAATCTGAAAGAAACTAAATAATAAAATCCTCCATTAATAAATCTAATAAAATAATTCTCCAAACATATCCAAATCCTCTGATACCAGTAACTTTATAGATTACAACTCGGGAATCCATCATGTGGACCCCTTATCCAAAACCTAACTGAAACTGAAATAAAACAGAATCCAAATACTAAAACACAAAGAAGAAATCCTACGTAGAGTCGGAAGAGTGAATAGACTGTTTCTGCTCAGCACGAACAATGTCTAAGTCTAGAACTGACGAACACCTGAAAAATAATGGTGGGTCAGGCCCACAAATAAGTTCTAATCTACTACATCCCAAACAGAGACCCGATGCACGTATACATTCTAGTTAACTCAACAATAACTAATTTTTGTTTTGATAAGTCTCAACAATAACTAATATAGTCCGTATATATATACACACACACACACTAAGGAACCTCACTAGACTATAGGGTTATCTCAACCTGAATAGTAGGCAACATGCAAAACGCACATATAGTGGGCATGAGTACCTAGACCTACCAGGGCATACAATCCACCATATCTAGCTACACATCCCTGGCAATATACGCACCCTAACTACTGATCCTGAGGCTCTAGCTCATATCATGACATAAAATTATATATATAAAATCCGTCCTATCTAACCATAAAAGTAAACTATCCATCCATATATTTCAATGGTGTGCTATCCAACTGTTTCGTTAACCTGACACAAATAAGTAAGACTTAACTCTATGGTTAATCTGTTCCTTTATAAGTATAAATAGGTAGGACTTAACTATTCTCTTAATCCATCCCTATTATGCCCTCATCCCTTGAAATGATGCATTAATCCATAAAATCCATAATTGATGCAAAACAAGTTATTATTCATCAAATATTCCGGAATTAAGCATAATCAAAATTAGTTAAATATGTGATTATATTATACTATCAACAACGATTAAGATCATATACGCATCCTTACAATTGCTAAATAAATTTAAGCAATTAATTTCTCCATTAACAACATGTAAGTTCATTTAAATTCCATAACCTAACCAAATAAAGATTTCCAATCCAAGGATGATGCAAATAATATTTACATCTAATAATCCAAAATAAACATGATATAAATCATACATACATTCTTTGCATTTAATTGAGCAAAAATAACAATTCTAAGTAGCATGCATTTAATTTATATCATAAGAAATTAACATGTATCTCAATTAAATTGTACACCTCCATACTTTGATTAAATTCATTTAAATCTAAACAATTGATCAAAATAATTTAATCCAACCATATTCAACCATTAATTTAATCTTTTAAATTAATTAAATTCCATACCTAGCATATAAATTTTAAATCATGCATTTAAATCCTCCATGAATCTAATTAAACAATTTAAAACATGCAATAACAGATTCAAAGCTTCAATTCAACATCCCAGAATATCCCAACAATGACAATACAGTATATAAACATGATGGAGAACACAATTCATGCATCAATTCATTAAATCATGCAAAAATTACACAAACCCATTAACATATAATCATACTTTATAAATCTGATTTTTACACGTAATTAGGTTTATTAATTAAATTTAAAAATCCTGGAATTAATCTAGACATGTATAGAACACGAATCAAATGAGAAGAGTTAGAAAAGAACTTGCCTTATGATTTTCAGATTGAAAATCTAAGCCTCCTTCTTCCTTGTTTTAGCCATCTTCTTTGCCAAAACCTTATTCTTTCTCTCTTTGAAACTGTCTCTAATATTTTGTAAGTGAATAGAGTTTTCTAACATTTTTACAAACCCCCCAATACCCATATATATAGATAACTATAAAATCCTATTCCCATTCCAAATTATAAAATATAAAATCCTATTTCCAATCAAACTTTCCTTAATTAAAATAAAGGAAAAGGAAAATAGAAAATATAAAATCTTATTCCCAATCCAACTTACCTTAATTAAAATAAAGGAAAAGAAAAATAGAAAATATAAATATAAATATACCAAATCTGTTACATATATGTACTTGTCAAAAAAAAAAAAAAAAACTGTTACATATATGTATATAATATATAATTATAATACATATAATTCTAACTTTCCATAAAAGTAATAATAACAATAATAATTATTAAAACAATCCATATATATATATTATCATAAATATATAAATACAACTAGTCATGGGTAAATATTCATACCCATTAAACCTCCTATCCAAGTAGTCCATGGGACCCAAATGGTTGGTCCATTACTGCTATCCACATCCAACTCCTTTTAAAATAAAATAAAATAAAACAAACAATTTAAATACAAATAAACACATAGCATGTAAACAAATAAATACACTTCATCACTTAGCATGTAAACAAATCAGTTCATACCAATAATTAATTAAAATAACATTTAAGCACATAAATTGATTTAATCAAATAATTCAATTAAAAACACATAAGCAAAGAGCCATGTAATCAAATAAATCATTTAATCAATTCAAAATGCAATAAAACAATAAATTAAATGCCGAGACTATCCTTTAATTTAAACAAAGAATTCAATTAAAAACACATAAACAAATAGCCACGTTATCAAATAAATCATTTAATCAATTAAAAATGCAATAAAACAATAAATTAAATGCCGAGACTATCCTTTTAAAATTAGGGGTATTACAGCCCATAATAATGGCAAATTTTCATTTCAAGGTACACCTAAGTCTGTCTTAAAATAGTAATAGAGAGATGATTTTCCTTGGTGAACTGAATGGATTTTTCCCATTGAGTTTTTGACTTACCGATGCGGCACATTTTCAATATAATTTTGTCTTGTTTCAACCATATGAGTTTGAGTACATAAATTCTGGGATGTTGTTTCACTCTGTTTAGGGAAACCTTATGTTTCATTCAGTCTTTGACCAGTAACTCGAAATGCCCGGTAATGTTTCCGATTGACCCTTAATGCGCTATTTTACTGGTGCTGTGATTGGTCCTTCTTAGACCTACTATGCAACAAAAATTAGTGAATCCTTTCCTCTTTTGTCTATAATGCTTTCTTAATCCTCCAAAATGAAATGATTTCTAATTCTGTTTCACTATAACTTATCCTAAACTTCTGCATCTCTGCTAATGCTGCCTGGTTTCTTGTAACATGGAACACTATATCCATGTTGCCTGCTAATTTTCTGTCTCTGGCTTATATTTGCCTGGAGCCCACTGTGAATCCTTTTTCCCTTTCTTTGTCTGTTACTGTTACTGTTAATTTATTTATTCTTTATTTATTTATGATTTTTTATTTAGTGTATATATATATATATATATTGGGGGCTTCTCTTTGTCATTTATGACATCTGTTTGGGTTTATAAGGTGAAAATGGCTAGTTTCTCATTTTAAGGTTTGTAGAATGGGAGAACAAATGAGAATGGAAATAGTTTAAGTTGTCACACAATCCTCACACTTCAGTGCAATAAATATGTTCCTGTTCGTAGATCCCCATACATGGTGTGCGCAAACATAATTTTTTTTTGGTGATCTTGCACTGCTGTGACGTGATAATGTACTCTAGTGTTCTTAGCTAATCATGATGGTTTAGGTTAGGAGCAAAACATAAAGCAGTCCCATAAACTAAGTAGGGACCTTTGTACAATTCAAACCTGGAGAACACAGATTTGAGTCTCAAGGTGGTCCCTTTGTGCAAATGAAGTTGGAAATGTGGTCTATTACCTATCCGCTTTCCAGCAATGATGATTGATGGCTAAGAAGCATCGACATTGTTACAAAGGTTTTGTGTCTATGTCCAACACGTGTCAAAAGGACAATTCTTGAAACATGTCCAAAGCTTCATTGGCGCATGTGCAATTTGAAAATACATTCATTATTTGGACACTTAGCTGAGACATCCCAAACATTTTGTGACACTCCGATATATTAATACATTCTCCAATATGATTTTTATATAACCCAAACACATCTAAGAATATCTACATTTGACAATCTTGGAAACATTGTGAACACACCTTAAAATGTCCAATATATTTCTTCATTTAGAAGAAATGACATTTTACAAATGGTCACCCGTCACCAATGCAATGGCACTTTTTCATGTAGGTCCAAAATGTAATTGTAACTGACAAGAATATATTGTCTACTTTATTTTTTTTGGGTTAATGGGCAGAATTGTAAATCAGTGGGTCATCTTTTGGATTTTCTGGATAGCTTGAAATTATAGGGTCACTGCGGGCGCCTTTTGTTTTCTTTTGGGAGCGCTCCCCTTTTGAGTGCCTTCTAATGAATTTTACTTATTAAAAATAAATAAGTTGTAACCGACAAGGTAGGAGAGCAGTAACATATATAATATAATAATCTTTATGATATTACTTAGTTTCATCTTCTAAATTATGCAACTCTTAGTATGAACATTAAAATTTAATTAAAGTACAAAAACCTATGAATTGCTTATGGAGCTGTTGAAGAATCAAGTTCAAATCATTCTTCAGCAAGGGTTTCACTGCGCCCAATCTTCAGTTTGCTCTTTATACCATTTTCGTCCCACCTAGGATCAAGGTAAAATTGCATCCTCTTCCTCTTAAATATGTGGTTTAAGATGTTACTGCTCTCCTACCTTGTCAGACCCCACCAAATTTGCTGCTCTTAAAATTCTTTTACTCGTACGCTTAGTTTAGAATTAGAGTGATACCAGATGCTAATCTATAAAATTATAAATTTTTATTATGGAAGTTTATCATTTTATAAGTGGTCTTAATATATTGTAAATTTTTGCTTTGTGAAGTTTTTTGGGTTGTAGAAAGAGAATTTGAGTTGAGATTGGGCCTTGGCGCAATGGTAAGGTTGTTACATTGTGCTTAGGAGGTCATGGGTTTGAAAGTGGAAACAGCTTCTCCTTGCGGAGGTAAGGCTGTGTACATTTGACACTCCCTAGACCCCGCAATGGCGGGAGCCTCGTGCATTGGGCTAGAAAGGGAATTTGAGTTGTGTTTTACTATAGTGGGTAGCAAAAGTTGTAGAATTATTCCTGTTGTGTATAGTTTTTATTTTCAAATGCGCTGTTTATAGAATTTTATAATGTCTATAAAAAACACTTGTTGGTGCAGAAGATGAGAGGATGCTAGATGAATTAACTTAAAATCAATTAATATAACTTATGTTCTCTATCCCACCTCTCAAATCCTCACTACACCCTCTTCTTCTTCTTCTTCTATTCTACTGCTACAGAAAAGACTTGGTGTAAAAGTTCGCTAAAAATGGGAAAAAAAAATTGACTGTAATTGTTTTTCTAGTACGCCATTGAAAGTCCTTTTTATAGTTTGTTGCTATCAAGTGAGGAGAATGCTTGAAATATATGTTTTCTATTTTGTTAAGATTTTATGTTAATCAATGTGTCTACATTTCTTGTTAAACAACAACTTTAGACACCCGAGTGTATTCATGTTTTTAGAAGCTCTTTAGGTTATGAAGCTTAAACTGAATGAAAATTTTGATATTCTGTGCTACTGATTTAATTGATTGAACTCTCTGAAATTTGATTACTTATATTAGGAGGTTTGTTGTCAAATAAGAGTATAGCACGAGTTTTGCAATAGGAAAAATCCTTTGATGATGAGAAACCATGTATCTTATTAGCAGAGAACTAGAAACTGCAATTTAAAAATAAATGGTTCCTGCACCCTTACTGAGCATTTATCAAATTAAGGGAAATTAGCAAATTAAGATTTTTTAACTTACAAGTCCTACATTGTTGCGCTCTTGGCATGCTCAATATTTATCTAATATTGTCTTTATGCTTTCTTTCCAACAAAAGATGAATGAAAAGCGTATTCTTCCCCACCCACCCCCCGGCTAAGCAACAAAGTTTCTAAATAAGCCGGATATTCATTTAGGAAGAGAAATGTTCCGGTAGGATTGTGTTATTCAAGTGTTAAATTTTGTTACAGAGGTCAAGCCTGGAGATCATGATATATAAACTAAATTGGTATTATAATAATCTGATCCAAGATTGAGAAGGATTGCTCAAGTAAAATAAGCAATGCAAAGGTCTCTGGGTTGGCTAACTTTTTGATTGCTTATTTTACTAGGCCTGTTATTTTCTCCTAAAATTATTTTTGAAGATGAAGAAGCTGTTGGTTTATATATGCACATGAACTCGCTAATATAAATGTAATGAGGTTTCTTTTATCTAATCTGTTCCTTTCTTGTTCTCCAGGGATATAAAATGTGCAAATATATTGGTGGATGCCAATGGATCTGTGAAACTTGCAGATTTTGGATTGGCGAAGGTCTTCCTTGTCCTTTGTGCATTATCATATCTTCTCATTTCTTATAATTCTTGAAATACTTCATTGTTTTTTTCCCATCCCCCTAATACTGGTTGTTGTTCCGTTCTTCAGGCGGTTAAGTTGAATGATGCAAAATCTTGCAAAGGAACTGCATTCTGGATGGCTCCCGAGGTTTGCCTTTAACATCCTTTTTTCCCAAGTGAATAAGCTTTTTCTTATCTATTTACATATATCTATATTTAAATGGGTGGTTCCAGTTGTATTGTTGTAACGAAGAATCTAATAACTGAAGCATCTAAGCAGTTCGAAAAATAGTTTAAATATTAGCTTATGGGAATATGGATTATCTGTGTTTACTGATTCAGGTCAATGTACAAATACTTTGGAATGGAATACTTCCTGCAGCACATCTTTTTAAATGGAATGCAAAACTTTAACATGCTTATTTCCATTAAAGAGTGCCCAAAGGGGATCGCAGCCCAGAACAACTGCACAAACCAAAAGCTATAGCCTCAAGCCATCCATAAAAGACAAAATAATCTTCGCAGATTTACAATAAAGAACTAAGCACAGAATCTGAACACCCCCCAAGGAGACTCCATCCCTTCAAAGGATCTCCTATTTCTCTTCCTCCAGAAATCCGTATTTCTTAGTTGTTAGTTAAAACTTAAAAGTACACTGCCCTACACCGAATATTTGAGTTGTGGGCTGATGAATTTATCATAATTTATATATTGAGAACTTTGGTTAGAATTTGTCATGTTTGATGCTATTAGAGGCTTTGGCTTTGGAATTGTGTCTTTACATTTATCTCCACCTCCCGCATTTTGATTAATTTATTGAAAAGAATCAAACGGAGTTGCTTATTCAACTGGTTTGAAGTGAAAAATGGAATATATAGGTAAAAAAGAACTGAGTTAAAAGTGAATTGCCTTGAGACATTCTGAGCCTTGGGTTATTACTTATTTCAGTAACTTTTGTCTGGTCTCAAATTTTGTCAAATTCACTTTGGGGGTCATGCAAACTAAATTCAAGTTGATTGGGTTGGATAGCTGCCTGATCCATAAGCTCGCATTCGTTTTACCAAAAAAAGAACTTCAATTTGGAGATTGATGTGGTGGTGACAGTTCCCCATTTTTTATCAAGTTGATACTTGACTTGTATGGCGAACATGCAAGGGACTAAGGATGGGCTCTACGAAAGATAGTCAAAATTTATCGAGGGGAATAAAAATAGCAACTCTTGCACAGTTGGAATTTCATTTTGCCTTGTTTTGAGTCGGTTGTGATCAACTTTTTGCAAGTAGCATGCAGTGAAGTTGAATGTGCTAATCAAAAAGCTAGAAAATGCAATTTATGATATCTAGAACTGCACAATTATCAAGATCTCAATAGTATCAATGCTAGTCACGCTATAAGTTTCGGAAGAGAGTTGAGCAAATTGTATGGTTTGAAAAAAATTCACATTGGTTTCTTGTTAAGTAGTAAGTACAAACTGGGACGCAATGGATGAAGCAATATGTTTTTTTTGATAAGTGGATGAAGCAATATGTAGAGAAAGAAAGGTGTCAATATTATCTTCAATTGTATTTGAAGGACATAATTGGGTTATTGGGGACACTTGTGATGAAGCAAAAGTTTAGTTTATAACAATTGGTGCAGAAACAAGTGGATTCAATCTTCTGAAATAGCCAAGGTTGTCATATCCATAACAATTGATCTTTTGGTTCTGAGGTGCTACAAGGACAAGAGGGCTAAAAAGGAGGTGATTGGGCTGATATAACGAAATGATTGCTACAAGTTAGATGTTGGTAGCCTGACAATGAAGATAATTGTGTAGTCGCCCTAAGTAGTTTGCTAAAGCTTTGTTGAACAAGTTTAATTTGTTATTTCCAGGAGTTTGGATCTTGATAATCCTTTTGGTCAATGTACATGTATTACTTTTTCACTCTTGTAATTACTCACATATTTGTTTTGAGTTTTGATTCTTGCAAGCTATTTGGAAATGATGGTTACTAATGGTTGTTGATGTGCTGCAAATTTCTCTAGAGATGTATTATGAGTATTTTCAATTTTACTTTTTTCCCCTCATTCATCATCGTCGTCATCATCCTTGTCTTAATCCCATATGAATGGGGTCAGCCACATGAAGTCTCTCTCTCCAAGCCTTTTTATTACAGGCCAATTCACTTGTTATATTTAAGTTTTAAAAATCATTTTTAATAACCCCATCCCATGTTATTTTTGGTCGCCCTCTTCGTCTCTTACCTTCTATTACAACTAGTCTTCCTCGTTTGACCAACGCGTCACTAGGTCTCCGATGTTGTGATGCTGCCTTACCAAGAGGAGATGATCAAATCATTTTCACAGCAGTACTAAAACGAAATAAAGATCAAAGGAAGTAGAAGAATTCAAGGCAAACTTTTAGTTGCTGTTAATCTCTTCAACTAACACTAAAACCCTAGCAATTACAAAGCTTTATATACAGTTCCTTCTTCCTCAATGTAATAGCTAACTGCTTGTTGGGGTAGCGGAAGCGCACGAATAAGAAAGATTCAAAGAAAGCCACAAAGCAATCACACACAATCACAAGATATACATGGTTCAGCCAAAAACCGGCCTACATCCATGGATGAGGAGATTTCAATATGATTTGTTGAGATATTACAACAATAGAGTACTAACACTACGTACATGTCTTTTCACCATGTACCACTCCACGAGCCTATCTCCTCGCTACTAGTGTCACTGATGTTTTTCCTACTCTATCAACCCGTATACTACCTCTACCCATCAACTCCCTTATGAGACTACATCTCTCTCAATCTCATAAGTCTCAACCCAAAGCCTATGTATCTATTTATAGAATTCCAAACCCAATTCCTCGTTAGACAATGATTACAATTTCTTAGAGGCCAAGACTTGCCAAACAAGAAATTACCAAACAGAATACAACCCTAAAATAGAAACATAATTAGAATAGGAATTTGAGACACAAATTCCAACAATCTCCACCTTGACTCAAATTCCATTAAGCTAATCATCGCTTCCACGATACCAATTTGTTGAGCAGCGGAAGCGCACGAAACACAAAGATCCAACAAAAGCCAACAAAACAATCACACACAAACACAAGATATACATGGTTCAGCCAAAACCGGCCTACGTCCATGGATGAGAAGAGATTCCACTATGAATCGTAGAGATATTACAACAATAGAGTACCAACACCATAGGCATGTCTTTTTACCATGTACCACTCCACCAGCTTAATCCCTCGCTATCAGTGTCACCGGTGTTTTTCCTACTTTATCAACCCATAAACTACCTTTACCCATCAACTCCCTCGTGAGACTACATCTCTCTCAATCTATTAAGTCTCAACCTACAACGTATGTACCTCTTTATAGAGTTACAAACATAATTCCTTGTTAGACAAGGATTACAATTCCTTGGCCAAGACTTGCCAAATAAGAAATTACCTAATAGAATACAACTTTAAAATAGAATCCTAATTAGAATAGGAATTTGACACACAATTTCCAACAATTTCCACCTTGGCTCAAATTCTATCCAGCTAATCATCGCTACCACGGCATTGATCAAGACAATTCTTTTGCAGCTTCAATCTTGACCATACTCCTGCAAAACTCCGATTCTCCACATTATACGTTGTTCGATCGGTCAGACCTCCAAGGCTCCACCTTTGCCACTCGAGCTCCATACCATGTAACCAAACTGATTGACTCCACCAACAACTGAAGCCTGTTGCAGCACATGTTGAGACTTCTTGTGTTTTCTGGATCTCTTTCACCTTTGGCTCTGATACCAATTTGTTGGGCAGTGGAAGCGCACAAATAAGAAAGATTCAAAGAAAGCCAACGAAGCAATCACACACAAACACAAGATATACATGGTTTAGCCAAAATCGGCCTACATCCATGGATGAGAAGAGATTTCACTATGATTCGTAGAGATATTGCAACAATAGAGTACCAACACTACGTACATGTCTTTTCACCATGTACCACTTCACGAGCCTATCTCCTCGCTACCAGTGTCATTGGTGTTTTTTCTACTCTACCAACCCGCATACTACCTCTACCCATCAACTCCCTCATGAGACTACATCTCTCTCAATATCATAAGTCTTGACCCAAAGCCTATGTATCTATTTATAGAGTTCCAAACCCAATTCCTTGTTAAACAAGGATTATAATTTCTTAGAGGCTAAGACATGCCAAACAAGAAATTACCAAGCAGAATACAACTTTAAAATAGAAACATAATCAGAATAGGAATATGTGTCAAACACTGCCAAATACTACGTATAACCAAAATTGGAAAGGTGCTGAAAATTAGAAATAAATCAAAAGTTGCTAAATATTTCTTCTTGTCCTTGCCCCGTCCTCCACTTGTTTCCTTTTTCGGGTGTTCCCAATGTTTTAGGAAACTGTCTATTGGGTCCATAGCTACAGCAGTCCCCCCTTGTTGGAAAGAACTCGCCCTAGAGTTGTCGGAATCCTCATCAGAAGAATGACACTTGTAAGGAACCAAATGCTTGACATTGAAAATATCGGACGTGCGAATATGACTTGGTAACTTAAGCTGGTAGCCATTATCATTAATCTTCTTAATCACCTCAAATGGACCAATCTTTCCATCCCTCAATTTGTTGTAAGAACCAGGTGGAACTTGGTCTTTTGATAGGATAGCCCAAACATAGTCTCTGACCTAAAAAATGATCCTCCTTTTGTGTCAATCTGCAGGAGCTTTATATTTCGCATTTGATGCTTCAATTTGTTGTCTCACTTTCATATGAATGTCCTGCATAAGCTCAACCATATCTTCTGCCTTGACATTGGCCTTCTTTGAATAGGAATTGGAGCCAAATCAAGCCCACTATTTGGTTTTCGCCATAGACAACCTCAACAAAAGGAGAAAGAGTGGTAGTACAATTCTAATAGAGTTAAATCCCAATTCTTGTGGTTGTCACCTGTTATGCGTCTCAACAAATTGCCCAAACTCCTATTGACAACTTCTTTCTGCCCATCAGTTTGAGGATGAAAAAAAAGTGCTAAAATAAAGCTCCGTTCCAATCTTCTTTCATAAAGTCCTCCAAAAGTGACCAACAAACTTGGTGTCTCTGTTTGAAAAAATAGAATGTGAAAC